AGTGATCTTTCTGCATTAGCTTCTCAAAGTACTGGGATAACAAGTGTGAGCCACTGTGTCAGGCCTGATAAATCTTTTAAAGCAGGGAGTGGAGGTAGGATAGAGCCTGCCTTTCAAGGAACTGACTCTGCGTTTCATGAATGACATGGGGCAAGTTGCTCTTTGCTCCTGTGGTTAGCTGACAACATCTCAGGTTACAGGTTGGATGCCTTGAATGAACTGAGGAAGCAGAGGGACACAGTAAAATACACCCTCCACTGTGCTTGTAACGTGCACAGAAGCATGAATTTGAAGTTTCTCCTGCATGAAAGTTTGAAGCAAATCATCAGTTGCAGTTGTGATCTTTTCACTTTTGTGAGTTGGTAAAGCCTGTCCACATACAAGGAGGGGCCACTGTCTGTTTTTGTAAGTTGAGTATAATTGGAACACAGCCAGGCCTATTTGTTTACATACAGCCTATGACTGTTTTCCTGCTACAATGACAGTTTTGAGAAATTATGACAGAAACCAGAAAGGTAAAGATATTTATCGTCTGGTTTCTTTTAGAGAAAAAGGTTACCAATCCCTAGTTTAAAAGGAAAAATACATCATGTTGCTGCTACTGAAAGACCTTTCATGATTCAGAGGCAAACCATTTTTAGAATGACTTCTTCCCACAGAGCTGTTACAATCAGAACTTAGGACCAAACAAAACAAAATAAAGCAAAATATAATATAATATGATATGACATGATATACTATAATATAGTTAATATAATGTAAAGAAAAAAGAATGAAAAGATGTCTTCAAGGCAGACAATTTCTCTGTATCATCTGACAACCTGCTATCTGTTGCCTCCCAGGCAAAGAGGACATTTTCAACCATACTGATCTTTTCCCCATTACCCATTTCTCATCAAGAAGAACGAATGCTATCATCTTATTCAAATCCCAAGCACTAACTTTTGTCTCTCACACCATTCTTGGTTTGGCCATTATGTCACCTATCCATGCTGGGTTTGACGCTCTTACCATGAGGGTGATTCATTGTGTCCACAGGCCAGTGGGAAGACTGGATGGCCCACTCAGCATATTTCCTAAATCGCTCTCTGCTTTAGATATTGTACAACAGAAACCATCTCAGATACTCAAGAACCAGAGTTTTGAGAACTAGTTGATATTTTGTTCGGTTTTGTGTTTATTTAGGAGAGATTTTGAATAGCGCTTGTAATTCTCTCTGTTTTCTGTCATTTGTACTGTAAGTTGTTGAATACTCTAAACTCTCAGGAGTGAAGGGACAGAAGAAGGAACTTGGCTGCATGTGTATCTGAAGAGAAGATCAAAAGAGAAAGCGAGGTGAGTTGGTACCAATTTGCACATCTCACACCATAGGGTCATAGCACCCACAACTTAGGCAGGAAGAGACTGAATCTCTGTGAAGCTAAGAAACTTGCGCAAGTTTAGAAATTAGTTAATGGGGTGGCTAATTCATTGCTCCCAATTAGCCACTGTCTGCAGTCTGCCTGTTCCTGGACCGTTAGGCACAGTAGATTCACATGACTATGAAAGTACTCCCTACCAACCTAAGAATTAGCTATTGCTCTTCCCTCCTGAGGGTTATTAATGTAATGAGATGCTCAAACTAATGTAAGTGTCAGAATATGGGTAATCCAACGACCATATTAAAATAATTTCCCATCTTCTAGAAATATAGTTGTTCCTGTGGCTTCACTTCAATGGAGAGTATTGACACTGAACCTGTCTTTGTTGTTGATCAGACACTTCCATGGATTGTGTGGAAAAAGCTGATGTGATTCATGCCATGAAAATGCTCAAAAAATTCAAAGGACTTAAGCAGGTTTCTGTTGTGTTTTATGCCTTTTCTCTCTTATTTCTGAATTCCTGTATTTTGTAGCTCAATTTGTGAGACTTCTCTGTGAATAAAAGCAGGAATGTTCAAGTTCTCTAAGATTTACTCACTTATGAAGCAAATACTCACTTTGAATATATGTCAAAATATGGACATTCTGACAAATTGTAAAGCGTATCACATTTTTATGATCTGGCTCTGGAAAATATTCAAATCTAATCTCTATGCTTGCCATGGTGAGTTTTCCTTTCAATAACAAAGCATATTTAATATTAAGACTCCAAGGATACCTCTAAATCTTGGTGTAACCCTTTTGCTCTTGATGTCTCCAAGCCGGATTTTGAACTGTTTTAAAAGATTTTCCTGGGAGTCTTTCCTTTTCAACTGTAATGAGGAAGAGGTTCATGAAAAAGGTTTGTTGAGCTTCTGCTTGAGGAAACTTGTCTCAGCAAAATCTGAGCCTCCGGTTGCCTGAATGTGAACACAGGCTTGTCGACTCCAGTACTGGAAGCAGAAAAGTGCTAGAATTCTGAGACCAACAGTGGCCCTCTCTGATTTGGTGGGGAGGAGGGGGTGGCAAAACCGTCCTAAGTATTTGGGCAGAAGATTCTTGGCTGCTTGTCTGTGACTGGTTTCAATCTTCGTGTGAACTTAAAACAATGGGCAGGGACTGCTCTGTACTGGCTTAAAAGGGAAACTAAAGATGGACACGGGTTCCCGGTAGTCCCTGCGAGTGAGCTGTGGGATCTTAACGCTAGAAAACAGAGGCAGGTGTTTGTCATTTACCGTCTACATAATCCAAATGTTGTGAAGGCCTCAGAAAGCGCTCCGTCTGCAACTCTGGTAGTTAAATACATGCATTTGGCTATTTTAGATGAAAGTAGTTTATCATCAAGGAGGGCTGTTCTCATTAACTATGAATACTGATTAATTATGTAGATCATAAAGAATCAATTTTCAGGAGAAAAAGTATGGCTTTTTGATTTACTGACCATTGAAAAAATTCATCAGTGTTTACAGGTAATCATTAAGAACACCAGTCTACATTTTACCGTAAATGTGAGGGTACCAATTTGTTCAGAATGCGGCATGATGGAATACAAGAGAAGGGACTATTTTTCTGGAATATTGTTTTATTGTAAAGTTTTAGTGTTTTAATTTGAAACTGAGAAGTTTTGAGAATAAAGTATTAATTCATGCATGTATGTGTGTATATGTGCATGTGTATACACATGTATGTGTGTGTGCATATGTGCATTCATATATAGTGTATGTGTATTCATGTATGAAGTAATTAAAATTAAATTATTTTCTTTGTTTTATTTTTCAAAATTATAGGCATAAATCCATGTTTGTTTTCATGGCTTATCTGGATGATAGCAAACACAAGTTTATTAGAAAAGATTTCCCTAACATGTGATTTCTTTATCCACAGGTTCTGTCTCATACATACATACACACATGAATATACACGCACATGCATACACACACATGCATGGATACACATATGCACACACATACACATATACATGCATACATACACACATGCATAGAGACACACACAGACATGAATACACATGCACACACATATACATACCCATATACATATGCACACATACATGCACACCTACATGAATACACATGTGAACACACACGTATGCATTCACATGCATGCACACATACACACATGAATACATAAACAATATGCATACATATACATGAATTCATACACACATGCATACAAGTACACACATACATGAATACACAAATGCACACACATACACATATATATGCATATACATATATCCACATACATGCATGCATACATGAATACACAATGCACACATATATACACACTCATGCGCCTACACACATGAATACATGTGTGCACAAGAATGTATACATATACATATGTACACATACACACATGCATACACAAATACACATATGCACACACATATATGCATACACATACATGCATATATACACGCGTACAAACATGAATGCACATATACACACATATACACACACGTACACACATGCATACATACACACATCCACATATACATATACACATATGCATACATGTATATACATGCACACACATACATATACACACATGAATGTGCACATACACACATACACAGATACACATGCCACACAAACACACATACATTCTCTCGCACAGTCTCAGTTCATCAATAAGATTTATTTTCCTGCTGTAGTTATGAATATAAAAAATTAAATAATTTATTTAAAGGCAAATCAACAAATAAAAAACTTATACACAACAAAACTGCATTTTTTTCAACCACTGAAATCTTTTCTCTGTCCCTGTCCTGAAATTAAGCCATGAATTTTGTGATGCGTCAGTCTCTCAGGCCAGATTTTCTCATTCTGCCAAGACCAGGCCTCCGTGCCTTCATACTGCACCCGTGAAGATGAAACTGTGCCTGTGTTGTTTATGCCTTACTTCTCCAGGGAAGAAAAGGACGCAGGGTCAGATATTCCAATCCCAGTGAAGACTCAGAAGCAATTCAGAAAGGGCCCAGAGTCCTGCAACAGCCATCCCTAAACCCCACCAACCACCCTCAGTCTCAGTCAATGTCTTCTTTGTCTCCATGACCCCCGTGTTCAGAACAGATACAGGGATGAGGCGATGTTCTCTAAATCAGTGCTGTCCGACATGGTATCCACTAGCCACATGTGATTATTGAGCATTTGATGCAGCTCATGCAACTGAGGACTTGAATTTTAAATTTTATATAATTGATTAACATATACATTTAAATGGCCACACGAGATCAGTAGCTACTAGTGGAGGTAAGCCTGTAAAGAGCATCAACAAGTGGCAACCGCAGTTGGACAGTAGTGAATTCAACAAAAAAAGCATACAAAGTCAACACAAGAGTTAAGAATTAAGCACAGCAGTTTTGGGTCATGTCAAACAGCATGAGCAGGTAAAAGCCCTGTAGTTTCTTAGGGCGTCACAGATTGGAGAACATGCCAATAAGTGGTGGTTTTTAACAGTAATTTCCAAAATTAAGAGACCAGAATTGAATGCCATGCTCTGGTCACCATTTCCTCAGGCCCAGAAAATGCATCTAAGTGTCCCCGATTCAATCTCATGGAAGAAGACAATTTCGCTTACCTGCCATCACTCCATAGGTTGATGGCTGGTTTCCATAATGACAGGAAGGCACCGAATAATGAAGTCCCGTTGCTGCGTTTCCCATCATTGTCACCAAGAAATGGGTGCGCAAATACATAGGAGTTTGGATCAAAGACAAAATAGACGGGACTGGTAAGAAAATGTATGAGGATTCAAGACACATTCATTTCATTTCAAAAATACACATTTATGTGACTCTTAAAGTTATATGCCAATAATTTCTTCTCATTTGGAGGAAGTTCTCCGATGAGTTGGTCAAAACTAGGGGTCAAAGTTTGTCTCAAGTAATGAGATCATTAATCATCGAAAGGAAATGTATCTCTCATTAATGGTCCTGTCCTCTGTGCTATGGCTATGAGTGAGATCTGAAGGGATGACTGACCAGTTCGGCCCTTGACTTTTTGGGAATTGAAGAATTCTTGTGGGTTCTATCCAATACAGACATTGCAACAAACTGATTAGTGAAATAGTCTCTAAACAGTCTAGCTTAGCATGGTATTATAAAGCAATCTGTCTCTAAAAGAATGAACACAGAAATTAACTCTTGAACACTCTGTGCTTTTGCTTATTCTCCTGATAAATTTATTTCATCAAAGTGGGTATGGCAGAGAACCCAGACTTCTGCTAGACACAATAATAAACACCTCACTACATTCAGAACTCTATTGAAAACCTGTGACAATGTCCGATCTATTTATGTTAACGTTGAAACCATGAAGTTGTAGGTTTTCTGCATGTGCAAATAGATACAACTTTATTCAAATGAGAAAGCCAGTCAAAAAAGAAGTTCATCAACTGTTGAGTGGCTTAATATCCATAAAGTCACATATACACAAAACCACTTTATAAATGGTTATATGCTTCATGAAGTCAATGCGTGTTTTGAAAGTAAATTTGATTATTAGAATTTTATCAAGTGTTAAACAAAAAACACCAAATTGACTAGGAGCATTAACAATAAAACCACTAGTCAAAGTTTCCTTATATATTGTATTTTCTCATTTATCTTTCAGATTTTGAATGTATTGGTGGATTTTCATAAATATAATCATACCTTCTTAAATAAGTGAGATATTATAAAGAATTTGGATTCTTTGAGAATATATTTAATCTTGTGATTAAAGACATGCCATCTTTTCATAAAGTAAACCATATTTTTAAAAGTATAGGACAATCTTAATTTTTAAGTATCTGCATACATTTGTTTCATAACTAACAAGCAGAAAGAACTACAGTCATTTTGCAATATAACGAGTACACATAAAAATATTACTATACATTCCAAAGTTAAACAAATGAACATTAAATATGTTAGACATCCAAATATTCTCAGTATCTAATGTCTTAGGACATTAGAGATATATGATTATAATTTTATGGAAAAATTATAAATCAATGCTATTATAATTTAAAACATTTTTAGGTCATTGTTAGTGATTATGAATTTTTTTACTTCCGAGGTTTAAGTAATTTTTGTTTTTCTGACTTTAAGAAGCTACAATACTAGATACATTGTTACTTATTTTTAAATAAACAAGTAGGATTTTAATCCTGAAATGAGATCATTTTGCTAGACTATTACTTCCAGTGTAAATTTTATTTTTATGCTGACCAAATTCTACTCACACATAGTAAGTTAGTAGGTTAAAAAAACAATGTATTATTCTCCTTATCCTCAATTCATAGAACAGTCTATTATATGATTAACCATGTGATAATCATTTACATTTATTTATAACATATTTTGATAAAAACTCTTTATTATATTTTCCAAAAAATATCTTTGAGAATACATTAAATTATGGGAATCTTTGCTGGATGAAAACATCTCTACATTAAATGTTTTTACCAAAGTCCAAATATCTGATATCTAGATTATTTAAAATATAGCAGAAGATTGATGATAAACTTACATATATTTTTGAAAACTGCCTTATTACAATAAAAGGTAGATCTTAAATCTTTTCAATCAGGATACAAATATATCAAAATTTAGAAATCAAATTTTGATTTCTAAATATACATAATTTTGTTGCACTTCTAGATGTAACACAGTTTACATTTAAAATAAATGCAAAGGAAATAGTATATTGCTATCTAGTGAAAGAAATTTACTCAATTTGTCTTTGCCCTCTTACAAATCGGCTTTAAAACTTTTACAACTCTCTTTAGAACTCAATTTTGACAAAATTTAACTTAGTTCATGGGCTCTAAATGCTATATTCCTCCTAGTTTTGACTTCTGAGTTTTATATTATGCTAAAAATATAGGCTTATTAAAATCCGTTGAATTATTTTATTATTTGAAATCTATTGTTGGAATTGGGAATTACTTGTTTGTGTTTAATACAAGGTTAATAGCTGTTTTAGACAGCAGTAAATATAATCTAAACACAAAATAAATCTTTAAGACAAAGAAGGAGCACCTTTTAAAAACAAAATTATTTAAAAATATTTATTTCATTTTGCTCCTTATTTCATAAAGTTCCATTATACCGGTTTTCAGATTAAAAACATCCAAGTGCACTGCTTTCTTATGTAGAAAACAGATCTTTGTGATAAGTCAACATTAATTTAGATTGCGCTGAATAGTACTTTAAACAATTCTTAGACATTTTGGCTTTTTAAATCTCTAGAATATCTAACTTAAAACAAGTTACATTGAAGGGGAAAATAAAAGATGCAAAGAAATGATGAACTAACAAGATTCAAACATCCATTCCGACATCTTCGGTCTGACCATATGTAAACCACGATAAAAATCAGTACCTGTGGACATCACGTTGGTGGCATGGTTGGAGACTGGCAGACATTCAGCAGCACTGTGATGCATGATCAGAGGCAGAGTTGCAGAAGCCTCAGAATTCAGAGGTATAAAGGTATCCGCTGAAGTAAAAGATTGGCAACTCATTCCCACGAGCGAGTAGAAAAATCAAAAGAACCGATGCTCCCCAAATCAGAGTTTTATTCGATTACTGTTTCAAAGGGCTGATTCAATTCTCACTACTTGCATATATACATCAGGGTGGCTCTGAGGCCCCAGAAGGGCGCGTGCTAGTATTTATAGTGTGAGGAAATCCCTTTATACATGTTAATAGACTTTTCCCAGGAGTATTGCTTTATCAATCTGAACCGTCTTTCTTTCTTACCCAAACACAATCCATGCCCAAGAAGAAAGCTGGTTCTGAGGTATAGACTGAGGGGAAGGGAGAAATCTGAAACTTTATTTGACAACTTCAATAATTCAGACCTTTTAGAGAGGAATCAAGAACTTCGAAAAAGTGTTCCGCAAAGGAAAAAAAGCCACAGTGGATTGAAAAATAGTAGGTGTCCTTTTGCTACTAACACAATTGCAAATTTATGTATATGAGATGTTTTTTCTTCGCTTTTGCTAACTTCTGATTAAATCTGTAAAATAATATAAAAGAATTACTACATCATTTTAAGAAATTGAATATTTAAGTTAATATTGAGAGATGCATATAAGATTAAATATGAGAATAAGTATGCTGTCAGTGACTGATTCATACTCAAAAATGTACAGTTTTGAAAACCTGACAATTTCATTTTCACTGTAGTAAAAGTAGAACATTTTAAAAAATATTGAATAAAATGTAGTATTGTATAAAAAAGACAAGCATGTGTGATTATAACTTTCCCTTGATTTCAATTTACTCATCAAAAACCAATACTTAATAAGCTCTTACTAGACGCTGACAGTATTCTAGGCATTTCTACAGTTATGTCATGCAAATCTCACAACGCCTTTGTGAGTTGCGTATCATGCCATCCTCACTAAGCTAGAAGCTGAAATCTTGGTTGCTCCATCACAGAGCCCAGGGTAACCATGGTAGCACCAAATGGGCACTTCTCTCACAGAAAATGCTGACCTTCTGTGAGAATGAGAAAATAATATGCTACAAACAACGGATGCAAAGATAAATGTCAGCATCAGGATTCTACAATGATCATAATTTATCCATATAATGAGTGACTGCGATACTATTTATAGAATGCATTCTAGAATGATTTAGCAAACAGAAATAACACAAGCATAGACATCACTGAGGTAGGTAGGCTAAGGCTGTGCTACGTTAGACTCAACTTTTGCGTATGGGATATTTTAGGACAACTTGGCGTTGATTGCTTTGTGCTAAATTTAATTTTGACATTGACAAGAATACCTTTTCAAAAAACATGAACGCTATGTTAATAATCAACTGATATTTTGTAGGAAAACACGCAAAGGTTTATCCAAATCATTATATAACAAGTGAAAAAAACATTTATTCTAAAAATGACATAATTTTTTATTCTGAATTCTATATCTTTGGAGTTCTACTAGTCTTCTTGAATGAGACAAAATTCCAGGTGATCACAAGCATTGATTACACTCTTGCAGACATCTAATAATTTTCAGACCTCACAAATACAGAAAAATCTTTTTTCAGTATGTTTATAAAGGTACTTTTTAAAGGAAATGAAATAAAAACAAGTTATTGAGCATTAGGTTTTTAAAAAATTAAGCTATATGATATTTACAGAAAATAGAATTTGAAAATTGCACTTAATAATTTTACTATTGTTATATATAGTCATGCAGTATGTCAGCAAAGTGTATCAATCAAATGATAGATTAAAGAGTACCAGCATAACACCTACCTAGCAAACATTGCAAAACTTTCCCAGTAATTTACCATGGTTCCTAAAATTAAACAATTGCAATTTTAGACAGAATTTCTTTCGTAGTGGCTTAAAAATTTAAATACCTGCTCTGTGAAATACAAAACAAAATATTACAGTTAAGAGGTGGTAAACCAAGGAATTAGATGTTTTCATACAGTCTTCTATCCTGCAATATATCTGTAGGATTATTTTTAATGTGGAATTTATTTAAGTTGGAATTAATGAGTTTAAGTCTTACAAAGTTTTTAACATCTTGGAACCATTACCAATTTGCTTTTCAAATAATTTGTTCTATTACATTTTGGTTTTCAACTATAAGGAACAAGTTGAGCAAAAAAGAATTTTTAATTATCTGAAGACACAGGCATTCTTTGGAACTCACAGAAAAGAAAGACGTTGGTTCACAGGTAGAAACGAAACAGGAAGTGGCTTTCCTGTCTGACTCTCCAATCTGCTTTTTTCTGTGAATCTCCCTTTTCTCACCCTCTACAGAACAACCTAGGATGATTCCTCACCCATGGTGACCTCACAGAACTCCACATCACGCCTTCAACTTTCAAACAGGCCAAAAGACTGTTGGATAGCTTCTCTCTATCTACGCTTATGAGATAAACATTCTTCTTTGCCATGACTATTGTGTGTTCCAGAAGGAAAAACATGGTTCCTGGTGGTCCACACTTGTGAATAGTTTTGTCCTAGATGCATTCAGGCTCTTGTAGACAATGAGGGGTAGATCATTGTCTGGGTATACCCTTAAAATGTAACTGATGGTGTTCTACAATTGCACACTAGCACTAACAATGTAAAGTTGATGATCATCTTTCATTCTCATTGTTAGTAATACCATCTAAATATGTAGGCTTTATTAATCTGGTAGGAAAATGACACTTTAATCTGTGTTTGATTGCTAATATGCTATCTTTTTATACTTATACTAGCTAATTGTATTTATTGTTTTGTTAAGTAACTGATTCTATATTTTGTCCTTCTATTTAAATGACATTCAGACAGTTTTATTGTCCATTTGAGTGCTTTTGAAATATACCAATAATGTTAATTTTTATTGTTCTTTATCGCTTTATGATTAAAATTTCTTCTAACTTCTTGTTCATCTTTTAACTTTATGCTGGACCTTGGCATACACAATATTTTATGTAAGAGCTAAACTATTGGTCTTTTTTTGTGTGCATTTCTTAATGATTTTAAATTTTAAAATTTTCCCTTATCCAAAGCTTTATGTATTTTTTACTTTTGTTTTGCTAGTTCGGAGTCTTAAAAAAATTCCTCTTAATGTTTTAAGCAGCCATATTCACGATGTTTCTCGACTTCATTTGTAATTGTTTAGATGATAGTGAAAAATGTAGCTAAATTTGAAAACTATCAGATAAATAGGAAGAAAAATCTACTTTAAATTAAGTTAATAAGAGTAAATATGAAAGGGAACCCCAAAAAATCTAGAATTCTTTTTTTTTTTTTTGAGAGCAGACCCCTTGTAGTACACTTGGAATGTGTTCCTTTGGATCAAAAAGTCAACGCAAATTTTAATCTAGAAGTTTTGATAAAATTGCATCATGATTTGTGGAAGAAATGTTCTGAGTTGTTGCAAACAGGTGACTGGTTCCTCCACTTTGACAACACACCTGATCACACAGAGCTGAGCAGTTTTTAACCAAAAACAGCAAAATAGCATGACTGCCATGCCCCACCCTCTCTATTTACCTGATCTCACCCCAAGAAACTTTTTGCTTGTTTGTTTCTCTGGAAGAAAAAAGTGCTTAAGGGAAACGTTTTGCTCATGTGGAAGAAGAGGTGAGACAAAAAACTGCAGAAGCACTAAAAGGATCAAAATTGACAAGTTCAAAAGCTGTTTTGAGCAATGGAATAAGCATCTCCATCAAACAAAGAGTACTTTGAAGGTGACTGAAGTTTAAACATACAAGAATAAATACACAATTTTTTATAAATGAATTCCAGGTTTTTTGGGAGTCATCCCTTGTACACAGGAGAGGAATTTCATCAGACACAACATTAGTCTGATTCATTCAATGAACTCCTCTTCAATTAAGCAAATAATTAATTTTTTTAAAAATACAGCCGGGCTCGGTGGCTCAGCCTGTAATCCCGCGCCTTTGGGAGGCTGAGGTGAGTGGATTGCCTGAGCCCGCGGGTTCGAGACCCGCCTGGGCAGCAAGACCTCATCTCTACAATAAATCAAAAAATCAGTTGGGCGTGGTAGAGCATGCCTGTAATTCCAGCTACTTGGAAGGATCGCCGGCGGAAGGATCGCCGGAGCCCAGCAGGTCGAGGCTGCGGTGGCCGGGAGCGGCCACTGCACTCCAGTCTGGGCGACAGAGTGAGACTCCAACTCAAAAAAAAAAAAAAAAATACACTGAGTTTTGAAAGAATGATCACAGCTTGAGAAAAATATATAAGTTTGGAACAATAATATTAAGAACAATATCCAAATATTTTTATCTCTAGGTTACAGAATTAATAGATTTTTTTCTTTTCATATTTATATTTTCTACTTTTTTATATTTTTGCATGAATTCAGAAGCAGGATAGTATGTTCAGCACAGATAGATTCTAGAGTCAACCCAGGCATAAACTCCAGCTGCACACCTTATCAGTTATATAATATTAGGCAAAGAATTTTACCATTCAATATTTTAAGTTACTTTATCTGTGCGATGGAGATATTACTAATATTCAACTCACTTAGAATGATGCCTGTAATATGTTAAACTTTCAGTAAATGTTAGCAGTTACGAGTATGTGAAGTTTTATAATAATAATTGCTTATGCTTATTTAGTCTGTGTGCTTTATAGGTATTGTCTCATGTAATCCTCACATTACAGGCACTGTTTTACAAACTGGGAAACTGAGGCACAGAAACGTTAAATTCTTACCAGAAGTCATCCAGTAAGTGGTGAAGCTGGTATAGGAATGTATGCACATAATACTGTCTTCTGTTGTGTAAAAAATATATAATAGTGATTTTGATCTCTAACTCTAGTTCTGTATCTCTGTATGTAGACGTTTGGTTTTTCACCTAGCTTCAGAGATAGAGCAGGGAAAGAAAGTTGATTCTTTAAAAGACTTGGTATGCTCATACCTTTTCAGCATCTGCAACTCTGTATAATTCTGTATTACTACACAATCACAGTACATAAATGATACCACCACTATTTTTTGCAGAACAATGGACTTGAACTGCTGAGTAATCCTATTCAATAATGTGTTTAATTGATGTTAATCATTCTTTTTTCTAGCGACTTACGATTCAAGTCACTTTGAACTAGTTACAAGTTGTGTATCATACACACATACATACACACACACACATATT